TGTCTCGTCGCTATATTACGCCTATGGCCTATAACTACATTAACACTATAATGTAGTATAATATATTATATTTATACATTATGTATAAAACTATGTATATGACCGTGGACCGTGTGAACACCATACTATTTGTACCTAAATTACCATCGACTTTAAATACTAACAACTTTTTTACAGTATTTGCCAATATTTATTGCTATCACATAATTGCTAGGACGAGTACACCACCTGTACAGTGTATATTATGTTATTTATATACCTTAGCGTAGATTTACTATCTTATTTTATAATTCGTCAATAATTAAAAACTATTAATTTACAATCTATAATACAATAATAATAATAATTATTATTAATATTATTACTTAAAATTATTTCAAAGTTCAACTTCAACTATGATGTATAAATTAGCAGACATACCTAGATACTTGAAAATATTTGTTAGGTACTATAATTTATTAAGCACATCATACTATCATAGTCCATAGTGTATATAACGATTAACGCTAATTAACTACAGCATTGATTAAGTACAAATTCATAAAAAAATAATACAATATAAATCATCATGTATAATCATTAATCATCAATGACTACCTACAGTAATAGGACTTTTTTTAAATGAAGTAAAAACAAAAATCTAACTTACACATTTTCAATGTTCTATCTATTAATATTAAAATAGCTTAACTCATATTAAAAAGTATCCGACGTATTGGATAAGCGTTTTATTTAATCAAATATAAAAAATAAAATGGATAATTTAAAATTTGAAATAATATCTACTAGCTAGTATGGCTACTACGTAAAATTAAGATACAACGATCCTCTTACATTTATACATATCAACCGCGAGTCGTGACTTATAAATCGATACTAAATACTTTCATATGATGCAAGAATATCAATTATTGATGGGAAAAAAAATCCAGAAGACGATAAAACATTAGTGTCCACTGACTCCGTGATGGTCGTTACAGCGTGCTATGTACGTCTATACATCTATATGCACTTTTGACTTCACTGCTACCTAATATTACGGCGTCACATTTCAACATCACGACGACAGGTCATTGGATTTATTGAAATAATATCTAATTATCGATTATTAATCTATGATTAATTCAAATTGAAATAAAATTATAAAACTGATCCGAAACTATTTCCATTTCGTCGTTTATGTAAAATATGAATCACAAGCTAATTATTATGGTAAGCAGTATTTGCCGACTACCTACTTATAGTACCTACTTAAAAATTATTAATACAAATAAACAATTATTATATTATTAATAAAATTAAGAAGAAAAAAGAAGATGTAGACCCTGAATTACCACAATAGAAATTAGAGAGACCAATTTAGGAATTCCAAATGAAAAGTTTGAAGATTTTTCCTACATAAGTTTAGTAAATATGAATTAATACCTAATAAATTAAATCGTCTGATTTTCACTCGTACAAAATTACTATTATATACGAAAATCATAAAAATGTATTCTGTTTAGATCCGGAGGGGTTAAACATTAATTTTTAAATCACTTTTATTTATACCGATTATAATATTCCTCTAATCTCTATAGGTCAGCGGTTCCCAAACTGTGCACCGCGAGCACTTTCTAGGGGCACCACGGTCTACGTTTCATTGGTTCTCAATGAGTACTTTTTTTGTTCTATTTTTCATGTTATATACAGCAGGGCACCGTGGCTAACTTGGTGCCCCTAAAAGGGCACCACGGAAAAAAAAGTTTGGGAACCGCTGCTATAGGTAGTCATTTTGTATTAAAGGCATAGTCAGAGGAGGGGGTTAAAGGAGCTATATTCACCCACATTACCTGTGTTAAATTATCCTATATTATAATACTATATTAGTTAATAAATTTAAATATTTTTAAAAACTATTTTTATTTACTATACGCTATTAGATCATCTATTAAAGACATGGTTTTACAAAGAGTTTAAATAAAAGAAAATTTTAGTGGTAAATTATTTTTAGTGGGACAAAAAACATCCTTGGCTACAAAACAGTCTAGTGTGCAGCTTGAATGAGTGAATACAAATATTTTTCCCGTAAAAACTTTATTCGAATTATTATATAATGAATAATTTTTTTTTAAATAAGCCCAATCGTTAAATAAGGCTAACAAGGTATAAGGCCCATACGTTTTCAAAATGTTCACTTATTCTTACAAACGAAAAACATTTCATACATAAATTTAAATTTATATTTAAGCATAAGGCCAAAAATAAGATGTGTAATTTTAAGTATTAACTATATACATTATATATATAAATATATTATGTATATATTTATTTATGCACGAGGCATACAATTTTTCACCATATTTTTGAGTACGGAAATAAAAAATAGAAAAAAACATATATCTTCCTAAAAATTATCCGTATTAGCTGGCTCGTTTTTCAAATAGGTTAGGCATCAAAAACGCATCATGAGGGTGATGAAACTCGTCAGAACCAGGGCTCACAATTCGGTACATTACGGCGTGGCGGAATAATTTTGATTATATAACATTAAATATATTACAAATTAAGGAGAATAGAGACTAAATAAAAATTAAGCTTTAAAAATAATAATAATGGTTATATTGCTATATTAAGGTTTAGACTATAATATAAGACATATATTAAATATTGTTAATATGAGTATAAAACGTATAACACACGTGTTGTATATTCGTTTAAAAAAATAATTATATATTTTTATTTTTAATGAAAATAATTTTACCTTTTAAAGTTAAACCGTGAATTGTGTTTTATGATAAATTGGTTATACTTGAACACCTATCTCCGTCAGAAATTTACTAAAACTGCAGTTATAATTGGGTCTTCTGAAAACACAAAATAATAAATATTTGTACTAACAATCGATATACTATATACTAAACTCGGACACTATGTTTAATATTAGCAAAAAGGCCATTGGTCGCCAATAATAATTACCACTCGGCAGTCGGCTCTCATTGACTCACTAATCATTCTGCTACTAGTGAAACTATATTAATATATTATAATATGTAGATAGTATCCAAGAGATACAAAAAAATTTAAAATTAATAATGATTAATGATTTTCTTGCGTGCTGTATTACACAATGTTTTTCTTAAATATTTTAATGGATACACACACTATGACCGACGCAAAACTACATCAGCATCCTTAGCCATATCTATAATTTTATATATTATATAATATTATAGGTATACGTTTTTTATTTTTATTTTCATAATTAACTCTAAATTTAAAAATATGCAAAGATTACAGTTTCATTTTTAATAGTTTTTAATTTTCTTTTGAACGATTTTATTTTATAATTTATTATGTATTTTGTACAGTTTATTGTGATGTTTGTAGAATTAAATTTTTATGGTGATTATAGCTGCCAATTATATGGAATCATTTAAAGCTTAAATAATAAAACTAACAAGTCGAAAAGGTTTCAACGTTTAAAATGGTTTACTGGATAATATATTAGTTATTATAAATATATTAAAGTAATACCGCTATCAATTAATTATAGGCAATTATATTTATATCAGTCGCTAATAAGAAATAACTAATATAAAGATAAAACCATTATTGTTAAATTTGATTATATTTAAAACGTTTTAAATACTTACTTTAGTGAGAAATATTTTTAATAAAATTATTTTTTTTATTATTTATTATCAAACGCTTAGACTAATATCGAATACTAACTACTAACGAGTATTAATGTAACTAGTATATTATAGACAGTGCGTTAGCCATAAATTATTCAACTGTTTCGAAACAGCTACTACGGTAAGATATCTTCTAAAAAAATGTTTTCTTAGTTTTTACCAAATCAATTAAATATACAATAGATTCCAATACATTATTACGAGTAACTATTAGTTAATATTACTTAAAAGTTTAAATTAACAAAAACATAAGGTTTACTGGTAATAATTACAAAAAAATAAACTACAACAGACATCGATTTTAAATTGAAATATTCATTTAGTAACTTAAACTTAATTTTTTTTTAGTAATTATAGGGGTTCATTTAATATAATTAATAAAAATATACAATTTTAGAAAGTATTAACATATTTTTTTTAATTTCTTAATCTTTGTATTGCATTTGATTATATGAAATTATATTGCATTATAAGATTATTTCCGTCTCTCACTGCAGTAGTAATGCAATACGCCAATACTGAATACAGCATATATGTATTAATTTTTAATTATAAAACAATAATGGCTAAATAATAAGTAATAATAAAGATAGTGAATAATGAACGCGTTTAATTCATTTCTAAGTGAGCTCATTCTTGTGATAAATGTTAAGTGATAGGATACGTCATGTTAGCTTTGGTTAACTTAAAATTTTAAATTTACAATGGAAATGGGTGGTTATTTTTGTTTTTTATTTTTAAATCTAATAAGGTAAATCCGTTGGTTAATTTATATTTAAGTATGTATTGTTATTAAAATTGAAAGGAATGATATGATAATATCAATGAAAGCTTAAAACGTTTAAGCTGCTGGTTAAAGGAATCGTTTATATTTTCATTCACATTGTGCTTGTAGAAAAGTCATTACCCATTACTGTATACTTTACATTTTATATTTTGGTGGTTCTAACTACTAATTATAAGCATAGACATAGAACATTGTTCTCTACAAAATGTCGTACAATAATCGAAATTTCCAAAATCATCTTGTTTCATTTTGCCCGTGCCATCGCTTCACATTATATGCTTATTAGTTATTGTGTTATAAATTATTATTTATCATACTTTTGCAAATATTATATCGACGAACAAAAAATAACCGGCGTATCGACCCGAACTCAGACGGGGCACAGCTGTTTCGTAAGCAATATCCACCCTTCGCAGCGGTTATAGCATTTTATTTTCCACGACCATGTGTTCTAGCGGGGCAGATCGTCGTCGTCGTCGCCACCACTGCCGTCGTCTGCGCGAAACACAATTTTACGGTCGTTACGGCGATTGCTCACAGCTGTAATGTAGTTGTAAGCGCTCGTTCGTCGCGGAAACGTCTGAGAAGCACTGACACTGCGCTCTTTCGCAGTAATAATAATTAATAAAATATTATTATTATTATAATAGTATTTCCGTAGTTCCGTTGTATTGGTGTCATATAAATAATTTACATAATATAGACGGCTCATGCTCATTACCATTCGTGATTTAAGCGAAAGATCTATAAAACAATATTATTTTTAACATGCGACACGACATAGACTATTATTATACAACAGTGTTGCTACCACGGCTCATGTTTAACCGAATACGATGATGTCAAAGACGAATATAACGTAAGTGGTTGAATTTATAATTTGTAATAAATATAACATTATGTGACTATACTAAATTACGATATGCCCTATCTGTATATAGTTGACGTTCGAATATAAATTTAGTGTGCTTAAGCCGAATTGTTTGTATTACTGTGGACTGTGGTAGTGCATAAATTATGTAATGTAGATAATGGGTTCGTCAGGGGTAATAATTAATGCATTAAATGATTTTTGAAAACTTTTGTTCGTGTTTACCATGTTGTTCTAAAAATTAAAAACCATCCCCGTCACTGCCATAGAATATTACTGCTATTGCCGATGATCACAATAATATGAATTTTGATGAAAGATATCAGTATTTACAACCATAATCCGCGATGTGTCTTAATCAAAAAATTAACAGAATCAGTTGAATCAGACCAAACTATCTATCTAATACATAATATATTACCTTTTACCTATAGAGTGTGAGGAAGCGCCTCATTAGGGGCGTCTTCATCGTTACTGCTATTATTTTGTGTACTCTGTTTACGTGTTAATAAAAATATTCCTTAATGGTTAACGAGGTTAAAGGATTATATTTATTGGGGAACTACAGCGATTTACCGCCATTGCGTGCAATGTCCAAAAGATTCCGTACAAATGCACGCCCGGGTTCAATTCAATGAAGCTTAAAATAGAATTTGAAGTTTTTGTATAAATTAATGTCACTTTTTTTTAATTTTAAAAGAATTTTTACAATCTATGCTACAAGGCATAATAAACAAACTTAACGTTATATTAAATGTAATTTGTTTATTATTATAAATTAATATTTAATTTAAAAATACTTAATTTTATTGTTAAAAATAAAAACTAACGATCATCAACAAAATTAACCTGAAAATTAACTGACACGATAGTCATTACTACATTAAATTTACTACATTCCTACATATTATTTTATGTTATTGATAAATATATAATAATATTTACTATAAAAATGATTAAAAATTCACTCTAATAAAGTATAAACTTATAATCATTTTTACGGTTTAAAATACATAACAGTGTCTAGTAATCAGTAACTGGCCTATAATAATAGATATAATACCTAATTATAATATGAATGCACAAATAGAAAATACAATCATATGAAAGATTTATTTTGTGCGCAGTACAAACAAGAAAATTATATTTTAAAATAAATAATATAACACATAAAAATAAAATATTGGTTATAAAATATTGGCAAGATCACAACTCACAAGACAAATATTACACAAAAACAAAACTTATTTCCAAATTCAATTACTCTTCTGACTTTTACCCTAGTATCCTACTTACGTTTTAAAGTTGCCATTTATTGTGTAGGTTTAATAAATAAGCTTATAAATTATTATAGTATAATACTATATATAGCTATATATTTGTGTTATTATTATTATTATTATTATTATTATTTTTTTTTTTTTTTACTAAGAAAATTACAAGTTTATACTAAAATAAAATAGAAAGTGACATAAAATAATTTGAACAGATAAAGATAACTAACATTGATACAAAACTAGGTTTTTTTTTTATACCATTACTTAAGTATTTAAGATCCCTAAACCTAAAAAATATGAAAAACAATTGTTTAATTGGAGTGTGTTTTTAGTTTAGAATGAAATTTCAAATTTGGTATAATGAGGTTTGGCCAGTTCGTTTAGTAAAGTAGTTTTGATTGAGGTTTTTATTTGTTCATACTAAGGGGCAAATAGATTATTTAAAGTAAACCTAAATATTGGAAGGTTTGCAAGGTTTTTTTATTAGATGATTTGGCATATCCCCAAATTATATAGTCCATATAACCAGGATAGGCGATTTATTGACTTGTATGTATTAAGTTAATTTATTAGAGACGGTTTAGGTCTTGAAAGAAACTTCAGAAGATTGAGTGGAGTTTTGTATTGACTGATTTGAATTTTGTTTTTTTATATGTACTCCGTGCAATTGCGTGAAATGAGTCACTTATCAAAAGTGAATCCAAAATATTTTATTTCGTTAGCTAATTTAATAATTATACTTTATCACAATGTTATCGGTAAGACAAGACATCATTTGATCATTCTACATTTTATTATATTTTATTGTGCTACTATTATTACTTTACCCGATCGCAAGTTGACTTACATTATTTTTACCCGCACTCCGAATATTTTAATTCTATTATATTATAGTACTAATTTATATAGACACTGCGAGGCTCGCTGATCGTTGCCCGAATGTACAACGATCACGTTATACTCTCGTCGTCGTGGGTTTTTATTTCGGAGCCGGTCATTGTTTCGGCTCGCTTAAAATTATGAAACCAGGACACTGCAAAATGATAATACATTTTATATTCTTACGACGAAGAATTAAATTATATTTTAGATAGTGTAGATACAGCCTATCTGCAGTGTTATAGCAGAAACTATTTTACGTCCTATACGTACACACAGTGTCGTCACTCTTCGCCGATCGTATTGTAGTGTACGGATATAGGTGTGCTCCTGCGGTCCCGCGGGCGTTAGTGATTCGTAACACACGAAAACTTCGAGACGTGATACTATTCGTGGCCCGACCGGCGGCCCCGAATATAAAACGTGACCGTTGCGCGCATAGACGACGGCGTAGACGTCCGAATAGATCATTTTTTTCCCCTCGTCGTCCGCTTCTTGCTATTCTTTCCACGAGAGTCGCCTAGCTATATCATCGTCGTCATCGTTGTCGTCGTGTACGGTGTACACGTACAAAATATGATGCACCGATATAATATATTATTATGTGCACGTCTAAATAAATAAATGTAACAATTGTAACGTACTATAGCGCTCATCATTCGGGCTTCTTCTTTTGGACATTAAATAATGTTATGTGGCGGTGTACTACGACCGAGACGACGCCGACACTCCGACGCCGCCGGTGCGTGCCGAACCGTGAAGGCAAAGCCAATGCCGGTAGTAGACGTGTACACCCTACCTATATTATATAGTACGGAATCATACAAGACTCGCGCACGAATATAATAACATCAATGTTATATACATGTATAGTTATAAACTTATAATAATAGTATACCATATACATTATACCTTACCTTCGCTTTCGCGTTAGTTCGGAAACGAAAAACAAAATGACTGAGCAAAATAGAGCAATGCGGTCGAAATCAGAACCATGGTTTTCTGTCAGAACAATACCTAATTACAATAATAATATACAGGCGGCTTCAAAACACACGGCACGCACTTGTGTACTGTGCACTTTATAATATTATAAGAGTGATTGTTTTAACGCGAACATATTCGGTTTCTGAATAGCCGTCGTGTGAAATAATAATATGTCTTCTATTTGCTGTATTTAGACGTAGGTACTAAAACGTTTTCAAATTGAAGTTATATATTTTTGATCGATTTGATCTCGTTTTTTTCGCCTAGAAGTTTCCCCCTTCCACTTGGATCTAAGCTAGAATTTAAATACTTCAATAACTATCATACTTTAGCCATTATTCCTTTAAAATATAAAATATCAGTGCCAGTTCATCATCAATAAATCAAATTAGAAATGGGTTTAGAGTTGAATCGTAATAATTACTTATTATACTATAATATTAAGATTGTATGGTGTGTAACGAGTAACAACAAATGGAACTATTAAATAACTGATTTAATTCTACCATTTGAACAAATAAATAGATTTTTATTTCTTAGTGAAAACTAAGTGTTGAGTAATATGGCTTATGTATACAAACACAAAGGTACTTTATTTTTTTATTAGTAACTCTTATTAGAAGATATTATTTTTATTTCCTAAAATATTTACAATCTAAAAATTATTATTTACTATGGATAACAATTATAGAAGTTAAATATAAAATACAAGCAATCAAATTATTTAAATTCGATTCCCCCCTCAATATTTAGTAAGTAATAAAGGGTTGCTCCTGATTTCGTCCCATTCATATAATTTTATTTTAAAAACAAGTAGTGCCGTTACGCTTAAAAAATATTTAAACATATTATATTACGTTATTTATATATTATATAGTTAATATGCTGTATATTAAACTGCATTAAAAAACCTATATTAAACTATATTAAAAAAAAGTATATCAACTAAGATATACTCATATTATACTGTAAAAAAATAGTGCAGACAATTGCCAATTTTTGATGAAGGAATCAACCTGTTACCTGTTTATAAGGCATTATTTATATAATTCATATATATAATAGTATTATATCATAATTTCACGTAGCACCTGACCCATATTCTGTCGTCTGGTTTGTACCTATAAAGCAAGTGAATCGTATTGTATACTCGATAATATGAGATTATTATTTGTTTTATTTACTTGGAAACAGCGTCTCACTGTTGGGCGCTGGTGACTACATTTTAAATACAATAGCTATTACTTATTAGTTACAATAGTCAACAATAGTCATCTTGTATAAATTAGTATGAAAACAACAAATTATTCATCCGTGGTAATTATTGTTCACACACGCACACAGCATATTAAATGTGTATCCCCATTTTTTACTGTTATTGTTTTCGATTTTATAATTTGAACTAACATAATTTTTATCATTTTATCATATAAAGTGTATACATTGTATTTTATTATTTATCTTGTTAATACTTACCTGTCTACTCAGTCGTCGATCGTTAAACATCAGTTTCACTAAAGATGATTTGTCTTCACGTTTTTTACGCCAAACTCGGTCAAATAACGAATTTATATGATAGGTAGGTACCTACTAATTTAGGTACTACCTATATATTTAAAAAAAAATAAATAGTTAGTATATTTGTACTAACACTGTGAGTAAGTCATTTCTATACGAAATTCATATTCAACAAGCTAAAAAATGTTACAAATTTTTCTCCAAAACAGAGTTTTCTCTAATACCTTGAGCTAGCGATTAATAATTATTTTATAAAACAAAATATTTACGTACATAATAATAAGTTAAATAAAAATTTTATATTTATGGAATAAAGTTTTTCCTAACCGAAACATTTTCAATTATACTGTTGTGTAAGATAGGTATAAAATAAAATAGACAAGTAAATAAGTTAATATATTATTATTTACTTCTAGAATATTTTCACAAATTGCTTCTGAATTCAATATTAAACCCGTTAAACTGAAACTTGAAATAGATATTTGAGTCTAGTCTCGGTTACTTAACCAATATCTACACGGTTTACTGAAAATAACATACGTTATAATTGAAACAAAAATGCTATATTCTCCCGCACTTATGATAAATACCTATCTATATATGTATAATGTATATATTTATAGTATACAATAAAAAAATTTATATACTCATAAATTATATTTAATATATAACGTTAAAACGTTATTACTATTATATTATAGATTATAAATAAGTTCATAAGATTTTTAGGTTATAAATAATATCATTGAGTATACTCAATGATAATACTTATAATATTATAGATTTTTAGCAACGGTGGGTCCAGAATTTTTTTTAAAGAGAAGCACATAATTTATATACAACGTGATTGAAAGGTCGACCACTTTGCATCTTGGTACTTAATATTATTTATAATTAAAAATATTTAAAAAGGTAAGCAAAGGGATTCATTTCTATAATGTTTTAAATTTTAACAAAATAAATAAACATTGTTATTCATTGTTTTAATAGGTATGTAATTTCGTCCAAAATTTGATCTTCAAATGTCTATTAAAAAAATTGAGCCTTATATATATTTTAGATTTTTAATTTCCATATAAACTGCTCATAAATAATGTTACAAAAATATATTTAATATATGTATATTGGTAATACGACTCATACTATATTATATTAATTTTTAAGTATGGGTCTTATTGATATGAAAAAAATTTAAGTAGTTCCTAAATTTGTAATTTTTAAAGAAATTATCAAAATAGTAAATAGGTAGTTGGTATTTTTAATTTCAAATTTATTCTCTTGACTTTTTTTGTCATAAGAGGACATCATACCATAATATATTTGTTGTCTCTAGCACTGTCTTAAAAGTTAATAGTAAGATCCAAAATTTACATTCAGCAGTTTTAGTTTTAATTTTATTATTAGAGTAAATTGACTTGTTGCCAAATTCAAAAGCATTATCAACATTATCTATATTCTTGATACATTCTTGGATATTTTTAATTTTAAACTTTAAAATAAGTTAGATATGCTTATGTTTTTTTAAATATTACAATTTAAAAATTATTATTATTACTTTAAATTAAAATTAAAATATCAAAAAAATACTTCTGAAAGTGAACAGTAATGTATACTGTCACTTTTTTATATCTAACATTATTTAGGTTAATTCATTTTAATATTAAACCAACAAAACTAAATGCGAATTGATAAACCTAAATTTATGATATAAATGCGTTTGTAAAATGAAAACAACAAAGTAGGTGTACATAATTCATTTTTTTTTCAATTTATTATTAGTTATTATAAGCCGATAGCCGAAATTCATATCCATGGGTCATGAATTTAAGTAGTTTCATACTATCTACATTTTCCAAGTCACATTCTTAATGACTAACAACATAGATGACTCATGTTTATAATAATTTAGTCTATTCGTTTTACACCGTAACTTTGTTTATATACTTTGTATCTAAAAATAGAAATTTAATAATTTCAATTCATTTTTTTTGGGATGGGGAGGGGTACAATTTTAACCTTTTGATTGCATCACAGGATTCAACCTAACTTATAAAATAATTAATTTTTATAATTTTTCAATTTTAAATGTCAAAGGAATTACACATGTTGATCTACTTTAAAAATCAATTGATTTTTTTAATATGAACCTAGTTTTAAAAAAATCGTTGATTTAAAAATTAGTGAGACACAGACCTAAATACCTGTATGGAAAATGTTTTCATTATTTTTGTAGACGAAAAATGTATTTCTAACTATTAAAATTAGTTAATAACTTGAATTCCATAATGTTAACTAACATAATAATTATAAAATATAAAATGACTGATATTAAATATGATAATAATATTACACTTACAATAGTAACAAATAACAATAACAGAATTTCAATTTAATTAGATTATTAAATAGGTGTTTATAACATCATTGATACCCTGAAAAATAGTATGAATTAATAATTTTTTATACGTTTTGCAGTCGTACTTATAAATAATTTAAAAATAAAGATGATGAGTTATAAATTACTAATTAATTAAATAATAGCTCTAAGGTATAAATTATAATATCTTACATAAAAAAAAAAAAAAAAAAAATGAAAACGATAGTCCTAGTTGTTGTGACGGGTTTTAAACATTAATCTTATCAACCAAACACAATTTACTAGTCACTAATAATTATATCTATTTTTGAAATTAGAAGGTTGTTTAAATGTGCATTATAAATATCAAATTATATAACTTAAAAAAATATTTATACTTTTTACTTTGTGAGAATTTCTCTATAGGTATACTCGTACTTGTCAGTTTATAGTGTTATTGATAAAATTAATTGTTTTTTTTTTTTACTAACGAAAAAAATATGCTTCCAACTTTTGCCGTCTGTCAGTGATTAGTATATATATATATATATATATATATATACATATTATATATTATTTTTCAAATATGTGACCTCAACCGCTTGATCATTGACACATATTTTTAAATTTTAATAGTTGAAATGAAGCTGAAACGGTTTTAACGATGTCCAAATTTTAAATCTTTATAAACGATCGATTCGTTTGAGTATATGCAGATATAATTTAAGTCCCTACTAAGTTCTAATTTTTATTTATTTTAAATAATATCACATTATTCCTAATTTTCAGGTAATTGTTTTACAAACTGGGCCGTAATGAGTTGCGTTCCTTGCGTAGATCCATGTAGTTCTGTGTCCAAAGATGATTTGGACAGGTGGACGAACAGTCTAAAACACGTTTTGGCTAATCAAACAGCCACGAAAATGTTTGAAGACTATTTGCGTGTGTGCAAATTGGATTCTGCGGAAATGTTGGAGTTGTGGAGAATGTGCGACAGTCTACTGCGCTACGTACATCACAAGAAAATAGAAAAGTAAGCACGTCACGAATCTATTCGATATGTCGTTGCCTATATTATCAATGACGTTGAAGGTCTTAACTACTGGTCGGCGGTCGCATAAACCATAAAAGTATATTGAATTCTTTTGTGTTTTAATAACTTTATTTATATGTAAATAATGTAATGATACTTTTTAAAAATTTTAAGTTACTGTTAATAGGTTAACTCTGATAAAATATTGATTTAGCACACAAGATGAAAAAAAACTTTCTAAAAAAACATTGCCAGTAAATTATATACTCAATAGTATTGATATTTAATTGCATCAATTCTTCATACATTTAAAGACCTCTATCAAATTTTTAGTACCTACAAAATCCCTTTTTTGTTGATAAAAGAGACAAGTATAGACAACTTGTTTTAATGTGACATACCTATGTATATAGTACTGTATATATTGACAATAATAATATAATATAGAAATTATACAATCAAAGTATCATTTTTACCTTACATTAACACCAGATTTTTATTTAAATTTATGAAAATGATGGATAAGTCGTGAGTATTGATAAATTAGTTAATGTGTTGTATATTTGATGTTTCAGCGAATCGTCAAAAATTTTAAACGACTACATCGCCATAGTAGAATGCGCCAGCGATGTGGAGGGATTGACAGAACACCAGTTACGCCGGTTGGAGGAGACTAAAAGCAGTGGGCCAAAGAAGATATTAGCCCGCGTTGAGAAACTACGTCAGACAGCTTACGAACTGATGCAGCATGACTATGGGTTGTTTAGGAAAAAGTTATTAAAGGATCATCACAAGATCGCAAAAAAATAATGTTTTTGTTTGTCTCAAAATATTATTCTCTTAACTAAGACGTTTAATTTTCTATGTTTTATAATTTATTTAAAGTACAAAATATATATTTATTTAAAATTATTTATTTATTATATTGTAATGAAGCATGTTATTTCATCGGAACGTCATAAATTTGGGATAGAAGAACTTTCAGAAAAAAATAAAGATAAAAACACAAAACCTGTTAATATATAGAAAGTATACCTATGTATGAACAAAAAAATGGAATATTCACAATATAAAAGTTACCAATAAAAATGATAATATATCTATATTTTTGTACATTCACATATTTACACTACAATTCGGCGGACAATGTTTATTTTTTATCTAGAAGATCTTTAGCTTCGTTTATCTTTGCAGCAATATATGGTGAACCGCCTTTATCTGGATGATTGATCAACATGATTCGTTTGTGTGCGTCCTGAAAAAAATCAAAAATATATATTATTTATTAATATACAGCGACAACGCTAATGACATATTATTAAATTTATTATAATTCCCCACGCATACGACAATAACAGCGGAAATGAGCTAACGTGCTTCAAAAATAAAACTTGGAATCGAGTACCAATAGTACCACGACTACCACGCAATAATAACATAAAACATGTATTTTTCGCCCAAAAGTATAAAAATAATATACACATTGCACAACAAATATCACTCGTAGTAATTTCTATGAAATATTTATAAAAAATAAATAGATTTCACGCAAATTTTCAATAATATTAAATACATTATTGTTGAGTATAATCTGTAAAAATGAAAAATATATATACATATACTATTTTTATATTTAATTTTTAAAGTAATAAATATAGGTATACTCGTATTACACCAATATTTTATTATTTAAATTAACTTTGCAAAGAATTTTCCTCGTGCTTATACATTGCTTATTAAAATAGAATTTTTTTATTTCATAATAATTGTTACTTTCTATGAAGTTGAATTCACATTTCACAATATTATAATTAATTGCTTATAGGTATAATTACTTTAATTGATTAAAGCAGAATTAATTCCTTTAATATTTATCACAGACATCGGGACATGTAGTTATGTATAATGGTGGTTATCCTAAGAAATATAAGTTTAGTGAAACATAAAAAGTAATTACCAACCAAGGGCAATGCTTACTCTACCCACACAATAATGAAGTGTACCCATCGGCCAACTTCGGAAAGTATTCCTTGAGCAAAGCCTTTATTTTAGAATAGTAAACATTGGTTATGAATAATAATTTGTAATAAAATTAACTAAAGATTTAATTTAGTCATTATAAATGAGAAGAACACAAAAACTAATGTAAATGTAATAACAATAAAATAAAAACATTATAATTAAATAAAAATTATTCTTTAAAAATATAAATTATAATATAGTATAGGTATTTATTATTTAAATATAAAATTATAGAATAATACTAATTCATGATGAAAGAATCAAAACCAAAAACACAGATTTTTAGTGAACTACTATTTTATTATTTAATGGTGGGTACACATGCTCAAGTATATTTTTGCAGGAATTGCTACAACAATATTTGTTTGTATAAAAACAAAACTGAAAAATTAAAAATAGAATTACACTAAGAAACTTGGTGAATAGATGATAGACATACTCATATGAGGTATGAAGAAACTTGACTTAGTGACACCAATCAGATTAATTCAAGTGAAAATCATCAGGATATTTAGATAAAATGTTTTATTTTTAATGTTATTGATATGAAATTACAATAGTACTTTATTTGTTTTTGGATTAAATTTAGCTGTAACATGAATCCAGTTAAATATTGTTAAGTTAAAATATTGTCAAAATTATAAATATAATTAATTTGCAAAATTGTTAATGTTCATTGTAATATTTATTTTGTTTAATACAGTATTTATTTCATACTAAATCACTTATTTTATTAATGTATTTAAAAAAGTTTAGTTATAACATAACTATTGAAACAAAATTAGTAATCATAACCAACTTTTATTTAAAACCTTTGATGCTGAACCAAATGTACTATAGGTACTCAAAATAGTTGATACAATATCGTTTACAGATGAAATGTTAAAATTATCAAGGTTATACTAGAAAAACTATTTATTTATAGCTGATCATTTTTATGAATATGTAAAATAAAATCAATTTTTAAACTACATTATTATAAAAAACATATAACTCATCCTGATTTATGTATGTATAAGACTTTAAATTAAGAATTTTAAAAGTTCATGAAAATAATAAATTACACATAGTTTTTTATCGACAAAGGTTATAAACAACTAATCAATAATTAAAAATGGAAATATGATAAAATAAAATTTAAAATTTAAACATACAACACTACTGATGAGAAGTGTTCAAGATTTTTCAATGAAGAGGGATAGAAAAATTATTTGCAATATTTGTGTGGTTTGTAACTACTAACTTACTTCCACTACAAATTACAATAACAATAGAATATTAAATTACATTAAATTACTTCAAAAATGTTGTTTCTATTAAACCTTGTATCTTAAAAAAAAAAAAAAAAAAACAGATTTAATGGATTCAGTAAATTAAATAATTTGAGAATAAAAAAACCTGTGACCTGAGAGAGGTAAATGTAGGGTTTTTGGACTTACATCATTTTTACAATACACAACTCTTAGCGGGGTAAATATGCGTAGCCAACCCCAATTACGCCTATAAAATAATATTATTTTAATTTTTTTTTTTTATAGTAGGAAAAAAGTAGTAGATTACTGTAACAAATTAATTTTATTGATTTTTATTTGGTCCCATCTTTTTAAAATTAAATATTTTTTTTTTTTTCAAAACGTTCACACATGATAAATCTATCCATAGATAACATATTTTATGCACTAACTCATTTTCAAATATTTTGTGACTTACATCGTTTCTTAAATGGGTAGTTCATTTGTATAGATAGTAAATATTGATGATTTAATAATCAAGGCAGTTAAGATCTTATAGAATCACATTATAATTTAGCTTACCTTGATTTTGTTTTTTGGAGCATTATTTGATACATCAAGTATGAGCATGGCTTCACGTTTGGACATGGTAGGTTCAAATCCACCTTTGTGAAATTTACTACTCGACTAAAAGCAATAAGATAAATAAACAAACGTACATAACAATATAAATAAAGTCATAATGTTGTGTAATTTTACCAAAATTCCTGATTCGGATGACATTGTTTTAAGAACTTCACTCATTTTTTGAGCTACTTGTGGAGCAACTCGTAATGCTTGTCGACCAGCAAAACCAGCTACGGCTAGACCTAGCCCAACGACAACAACACTAGCCTATAAATAAAATGCATGTAAAATTACAAAATAAATCCAATACGATATTAAAATAGTAAAATAGTTAATTACCATCTGTCGAATTGTTGTTTAAAACGTGAACTATTAAAATAAGTAATACAGTAATGTCGTTTCAATAATCTTCAAACGAATAGACGCTAAAGATGTAGTTAATAGTTTTAACTTTAAAGAAACTAAATGAGATGAGACTATGAGAGTTAGACTGTTAAGAGCGCGATGAAGATTCAAGATATTATTAAGTTTGGAAAGGTTAAGAGTTTGAGGTTGATAGATAGCTGTTATCACTTGTCATAATAGAGCATGATAACAACATTCACCTCATAATATCATATTATAAATTTAATTATATAATAAAATTATCATAAATTAAACCCAGATTTAATTTTTGCTGTGCATTTATTGCTAAAACTTATTTGGTATTAGTAAATCATTATTACTATAATACAGGAAACATTAATGCTATCTTACACTTCATTAATTCACCATTGAACACTGGTTTCATATAGCGTTGTCAGATCGCGCCTTAGATAAAAGAATACATACTTAATATTATTAATATATACCTACTTTAAAATAATAAAAAAAAATCCACTTTCATACCTAATATTTATTTAATTTTCAAATTACATTGCATGAAATTGTATACATTAGAGCAATATATGAAATACTTAATAATTTAATCATATTACTTTTACTTGATACATGATTAGTTTTAATTAATAATGATTTAAATTAAAGATTAAAATGTAAAAAAAATTGTAAATGTAAGACTTGAGTTTTAGTATTTATCATTACTTTAAATTTTTAATAACCAACTTTAATTTTTAGTACAGTAATCATAAAATGATTAGAGCCAAAATGCTTAAAATTGTACTGGGTTATTAATAATAAATATTTTATAGAATCGAGTACCTAAAAGTCTATTTCTATCATCAGTCCATTGCGCCTTCGTATGACTTAATATTCTTTCGAAATTTGCGATTTGAGCAGGAATTATAAAACATACAGAATATGCATATTTTTAAAAGTTCTGAAGATGTATCACAGTTCATATGCTTAAAATATTTTACTCACTTTTCATCTGATAAAAACTGGAAAAAAGAAATTTTCACTTTTTCCACTTCTGACTAAAATATATTTAAGTTTTGAGATTAATCAAATAATAAAGAGTTGTTTGTAGATGTAGATCACATTTGTTTAAAAATAAAATGATATTTTCTGTATTAATTATCTGTCCATAAAGGTTTGGTTTTTAAAGAAATCCATGTTAGAACATTAAATTGAATTAATAAATTAAATTAAATTGATCAAAACTAGTTGTTAATTTTTTCAAATAATATAAACCATGGTCGTAAAAAATTAACATCAGTATTTAGTAGAGCGATTCACCAAATGACGAATATTGATCATAAATCATAATCAATGAAGAAGTAGATGGGTAACTTGATTATAAAGATGAACTTATTTTGATTTCCAAATAATAATATTAACTTTTACACACTACATTGTGTGACCAAGTAAGAAGAGACGAAACGACAGAAAAACTACGACTACGATGTGACAATAATAATCACTGATGAATGATAATATAGATTCAATATAAAATGCGGTTATGTATCGATACTCATTAATCGCTGACCATAATAATTGTTTAATAGCAAAATAAATGTGGTTATCAAAAATATTTTTGTTCGTTTAATGGTATGTATTTCCGTTTGTAAAAGGTGTATATGATTTATGAGACCAAAAAATAGCTTTCCATTTTACGTTAGACAAGTTTCGTTTTATCAAGGGTTTAATTCTATGTTAAATTATAGAAATCTGTTCGGGACAATGATAAATTTTCGCACAAAACAGGATTCCGTTTAATTATGGGTCCAGATAAGACAGGTTTTACTGTACTACCAGTAATCGATTGTAATGCTTACAATTGCATTATTTTTTAAACATAACTTTAACGTTTAAAATTTATAGCAATCTAACATTGCTAAAAAAAACTTGGCTAGGGACTAAAAGTGAACGATTAGGTTTGAAATTAAAATGGTAAATAGATAATTATTAAATTAAAAGAATTCAAACAATATATTCGATTTCAAATTATAATTGACAATTATATATCTCTATACACAAGTGGTTTTAGATTATTTACTTCATATTATTGTATTAATTGAAAAACACATTTCTAATTATGACTTCATCTAAATTCACATAATACTTTGATCTTACTTATTTAAACATTAACCTTATCTTTTGATTTAGGTACACTTTGTAGTAGGTACATAAATACATTACAGTACATACATACAGATTAAATAGGTATATGTTTAATAACTAATGACTAATGTGATGTATTATGATGGATTTGTATTCATGATTTTCATTGAAGACTACGATTTTTATGGTTATATTACATTATACTGTACTATATTTATCTCATTAATTATTACTGTATTAAAATTATAAGCTATTCTAAAAATTGAATTTATTATTAAATTATAAATACTTATAAAATACTGTATAACTGTATAAATAGTATTCTGGTAAATACTGATACCTACTGAAGTATAACACACAACATGCGAACGAGTTTTCTATACTACTTAATATTTTTAGAATAAATTTAGTGGGTATTTACAAAGCGTATATTATTATACATTAGGTACCTATAAAAATTTAATACGATGACCAACTTAAAATCATAAAATTTTAAATTTAACTATATTTTCAGTCAAACACGTAAAAACAGAACAGCATCAATACAATTGATTCAACATATAGTACAATTTGGACCAAACTCATAACATTCAACAAACTATTGTTAAAAAAAAAAAATCATGTTTAAGGTAGCATGAATAGTGTAATAAACCTACGTACATACTACTATAGTTTTATCACGTTATGACCAACAACAGGATATTGCACACATCTTTTCTACTGTTCTAAGAATTAACTTTTTAATACATCATTAAAATTTATTAACACGTACCGAGGACACTTGTTATAAGTTAGGACACGTATTCTTAACGCCTTGTAAAACAAGTGCCCTAGGTCGAAATCAGAGTATATAATATATAGATAGAGTTCCGCACTTAATTAGATATTAGTTTAGTTGCAGTCCGGGCTTATACTCGTCGTTACTTACTACGAGCCTCTAAGTTCAAACTATTTTACTTTCAATTAAACACTAACATCTCGGGCAGAGTTTCAACTTTGTCCACAAATTTATTTAATAAGTTAAAATAAACATATTAATTTTACTATCAAGTGTTATTACTATTTGACTCCTTCCGATCACTACCGACAACTGGCGAACACCGAACAGCGTGACTACGTCGTTTTATTTGAGTGCTTTATAGTGAGAGATCACTACAAGACTTTTTGGTGTCAGGTGTGGGGTTAAATTTGTTATTATGAATTTTACAGTAGTCCCCCGCTGTATTAATGTAAGTTTTAAGTTTTTTATAATTATTATTAAAATAAGTCAGTCACGTTAAGAAATGCAGTTAATTCCCATTTTGACGTAACAATTTTCATAGGTCCCCGGTTTTCAAAGTAAATACCGGATTGTTGTGAAAGTGGTTCATCCTGGAATCGTTGTTGCCCACGGACAGTTACAACTAAGAGGAAAATGACGAAAATGTTGAACACAGACCTATACAATAAAAAAATATACTGTTATTATAATCTACTCTGTATATGTAGATTATAAAAAATAATGGTTTATTAAATCTGAATTTTGCTCTAATTTACTAATATAAGAAAATAGACACCTCGTCAGAATTACGTCACAACAAGGGTCGTGCGCGTGTGTAATATTATGTTCTTTTTTACATATTGCTGTGTGTGTTTCTACTAAATTTAATTGGTGACCTGTTTTATTTATCTTTCCTATGTAATAAGAGCAGATTTCTTGTTTGGTTTTAAAATTTATTAGTTTTAGATAAAATTCGTTGTCATTTTTGTAATCGCAGCAAGTCATATTTCCTACTTCATGTGAATTTATTTTTAGTTGTTCTAGTATTTCGTTATCCGTGTGCCCATTCTATAAGATAATTAATTTCCTCTCCCTTTTATTTGTTTTATGAATATAGTCGTGTATAGTTGATGCTTTTAATGTGTTTATATCTGCGTTTACGCTGTCATGCCATTGTGCTAATACGGCATATAAATATTCAGTTTTTCTTTTTTCCAAAAAATGCGCACCATTTGGAGAACAGCTCGAGCTCTCTCTGGTTCTGTTAATGGTCTGATATGTTGTTTGTTTAGTAGTAACGGTGGTCCTGCCAGTTTTTTAATTTGGTTTTGGTTATCTGTTATAGCACCAGATATTAATACTAATTGGTTTTTCCCTAAGTTTGTGAACTCAAAGTCCACAAAAATGGTTCTTTCTGATCTTTAAATATATAAAAAATAAAATTGTTTTTTTTTTTTTTAGTAATAAAAATAGTAATTATAACTATGTTAGTCGGAAAATTTCTTTACGTTATTAATATGCGTGCGATAGTCTTTACGTCCCTTTTTAATGGTTATGTTTTCGTTATTATGTACTACAATGACCTCGTATGGACCTATCCAATTTTGTGCTAACGTGTTTTTCTTGTTCTGATCTTTGAGTAGTATTTTGTCCCCGATATGCAATGTAATTGGATTATCGTTTTTGTCATAATATTCTTTGTTGTTTTCTTTTGTCTTTATAAGGTTATCCCTAGCAATTTTGTGCGTTTCTTGCATAATTTTCTTTAAATCGAATACATAATTATCATAATTGTATTGAGGTTCTGGTTCCTTTGTTAGTGTTGATGGAATGTTTGGTTTTCTCCCGAATAGTAATTCATATGGCGTAAAGTCAGTAGAAGTGTGGACAGTCTTGTTGTAACAAAAAGTTGAGTAGCATAGTAATTTATCCCAGTTATTGTCTTTATCGACAAGACTACGGAGATAATTTTTTAAAGTTTTGTGTGACCGTTCCAAAAATCCATTAGTCTGTGGATGCCATGGTGTAGTTTTAGATTTTTCGATATCTAATAATTTGCACATAGCTTTAAAACGTCGGATAAAAAGTTGGTTCCACAGTCCGTTAAAATAGATGTGGGTATACCAAAAATGCAAACACAACATTCAACGAATGCACGTGCTACAGTAGTTGCGTCTGTTGATGCTAGTGCTACTGCTAATGCATATCGCGTAAGTTCATCTTGCATAGTTAGTATGTGAGTATTCCCTAACTCTGTTATTGGTAAGGGACCCA